GAGCAGGGAGCCCGATGCGGGGCTCGCTCCCAGGACCCTGGGAACATGACCTGAGCCAAAGGCAGACGCTTAATGACTGAGCCACCCAGGCACCCCTAGATTCTAATTCTAGATTCAAGAATTAGAATGGATACTATGGGCCCATGATCATAATGACTTCTATAAACACTAACAATTCAAGTCCTAAAATGGTACTGCTTCTATCGTTAAGTATAAAAGTTACTGAGGAAAAACCCCACAAAAACAATGTCGGGGTGCCTCAGTTGTTAAGCGTCTCCCTTTGGCTCAGGTCATGATCCCAGGATCCTGGGATGGGGCCCCACATAGGGCTCCCTGCTCAGCAGGAAGCTTGCTTCTCCCTCTCCCACTCCCCCTGCTTGTGTTCCCTCTCTCTTTGTGTCTCTCTCTGTCAAATAAATAAATCTTAAAAAAAAAAAACCCAAAACCAAAAAACAATGTCTCTAGGGATTATGCAAGACCCAGTGTAAGAGATATCTTCCCTAATTCCAAGTCTCCCAGGCAGACTGAGCCACTCTGAATACAGTCAACAAGAGTGGGTATGAATATGGAAGAGATCATGGCAGGAAAAAAGAGACAAGCAGAAACATAACCTCCAGAATTGGATCAAGGCCAAAAGACCCTGACGTGTGACTGAAATATCTTCAGTCATGTCTAGAACATGAAGTAAAGCCAAATCCACAGATACTTGTCCAAAGCAGTTTTATAAGAAAAAAAAAGTAAACACCAAAATAATAAAACCCACAGAGATATAAAATGAACTGCCTGTTTCATCAGGAATTGCCTTAAGAGCCATCAGCTATATGATGGGAGGCTCTCTCAAATGGCAGTCTCCTCTATGGGGAGAAAGGTCTGTAAGTTTCAGTACAAATCAAAAGTCACTAAGATTTGTCCCAAGTATCATAGACATCATCTCAGGACTCTGTTCCCAGCTATCTACAATAATTACATTTTCCCTAAAAAATAATGGACAAATTCTCTTCCCTTCTAGGCTTTGGTTTGACTAAGAGATAAAGAATCTCAAAATCAGCATACTACGTCAGAAGATGGGAGACTTCTAGTGGATATGGGGTATGAGTGAAGAATCCAACAGAGAATTCTACCTGTCTCTGGTTTTTACAAACAAGAAATAGAATGGATACTCTAGGCCCGTGATCATAATGACTTCTAGAAACACTAGCAATTCAAGTTCCTAAAATGGTATTGCTTTTATCACTAAGTATAAACTTAAAGATTCACTTATGGATTGGAACTGAAAAGCACTGACAAGAACAGAAGTAAATTATTTCATAAATCACAGCCTCAGTTTGGGAATGTTCTTAGGATTTACGTATATAGATATTCTGATCAAATAAAAGCCCTTAGAAAATTCTGGGGCATGAATTCAAAGGATATCATGCCTTGGAGCTGCTTATTTTTTAGCTCTAGAAGAATGACAGAGCTACAGAATTACAGAGAAAAAATAAGACAGCTCTCTGGAGGATACATCGGGTTTCCAAATGGACATTTAAGCCCTGATATTACAGGATTCATGTAGGGTTATCAAAGGAAAGACCACAAGCACACCAGAGAGCACCCCAAATCCATGCAGTGAAAAGCAATGAACTATTGCATAAGAAAGCAGAGGACTCCCCACATCTTGGGCTACTTCATCTGGATTTACCCCTCAGCCCCATCTTCCCTATAAGGAAGAAGCCAGGGTGTCACTGAGTTACACTTGAGAATTTTCCACTTACCATTCTCCCAATTTCACACAGGGAAACAAGGCCTATTTGGCCAGTCTTAAAGCCAATATGTTGTCTTCTTGACCCCCCAGTTCAGTTCTATTTCTCCTGGATCATGCTGTGTCATTTTTTTCCTATTAACCTTTTCCTTTCTTAAAACCCTTTTGAAGAATTTCTACCACCAAATCTAAAGCTAGATTAACTTCCAGCCAGGAGAGAAAACCTCAATAAGCCAGTCTTTGGCATCCACACATATCACCTGCTTCTGCTCTCCAACAGCTACCACAAAGCTAAGCCCACTGGTCAAACGTGCCCTGTTTGGGCCATCAGCTTTTGACGGCTCAGCTTATTATGCCCAACTCATAACCCTGTGCCACTCACACAGGACAACTGGCACCAAGACAACTATGTTGCCAACACATGATGAATCGCCCACCATCTCTGACATTCTTTGTGCTAGGTGGAGGCTGAGCATTTCGTACTTCTCACACTGCATCTGTCAGCACAGCAGTGCAACACACACACACACACGATTTTAAGAACAGACAGTTAATTTTCAGTCCTGGTTCTGCCACTTACTATGTGACCTTGATAATAACCATTCAAGCAACATGGATGTCCCCCAATGTGTGTTAAGGGCTGGGTATTCTAAGCTTAGACAGTGCCTTTCTTCTAGGAACTCCTCAAGGGAAAAAAAACCAGTAGGGTGTGATAAGTGTGAGGGCAGCTAGGCACATGGGAAGGGCACCTACCCCAAGTAGGGGCGGGGGTCTGTAGTGACTCTCCAGACAGAAGCCCCAAACCGAAGCTCTAAAGGACAATTAGTGAGGTGCAAGGGGCATAAGCGGGGCATTCCAAACAGAAGGAGCAATCAGCCATACAAACACAAGGCGGTGAGAGAGATGGTGCACTTAGAAGTGAAAGTAGTTCAGTACAGCTCCCATTCTGTCCCCTGAACAAGCCCAG